CCCTGAGCCCCTGGGTTATCTTATCAGGTATCAGGGCTTTAAATACCATCTGTAAGTTGATGATTTTCAAATTTATATATCCCAACCAAGACTTCTATGAACTCTAGGCTTGTATATCCAATTGGTGACTTGACACTTTCATTTATTGTCTAATAGACATCTCAAGCTTAACATACCCAAAACTAAACTATTGATCTTCCCCCTGAAAATATGCTGTAGCCAGAACATTTCCCAATTCAGTTAATGGCAACTCCGTATTTCCACTTGGTATTGCTTAGGCCAAAAACCTTGGAATTATCCTTGACTCCCCTCTGCTCTCTCACATCCCACATCCAGTCTGTGTAATTAGGTGTAATTAGAAAAATAAAGATCCACAAACGTACCACTTCTCACCATCTCCTTATCATCCTCTCTTGTCTGGATTACTGCTATAACCTCCATACTTCTATCCTTGGCCCTCTACGATGTAAACAGAGCAATTAGGATGATCCTTTTAAAATGCAAGTTCAATCATGGTACCTATTTGCTTCCCATTTCACTACATTGGACAAAATACTTAATTTCTCTGTGACTTAGTTGCTTCATTTGTAAAATAGGAATAAATAATACCTCCCTCCAGAGATTGTGGGATTCAATGAGATAATACATAGGAAGCACCCACATAACACCAACCTGAGACAATAATGTTTACCTGCTGTTCTTATTATTTTTATTTCCCAATGCACCCTCCAAATCAGGAGCCTACTTTTGTCTCCTCATCATGCCTTTGGGGCTTGAGGTGAGAGGGTTCTGTAGGAATGTTTGGATTCTGAGTGCCTAGCTCATTGCTGTCAAGCACAATCCTCAGTCCATTAGTACCAGAGAACAGCATCTGTTCATTTAACCAAAGGAAATTCCATTCCTAACTTTGCTGTTTTTATAAGCAGTGTAGTGCTGGGTTTCCTTCACTAAATAGGAATTGCTTTGTCAGTAGAAAGTGTTCTTTTTGTTGGTACCATAGTTTCTATCTTTTGAAGCATTTGTTCCCTAAAGGATAATGAAAGGAGGCAGCTTCCCACTTACCTTTTGATTGAGCCTTTTATCTAATGTCTTATCCTGACCCCTTTTTGGTTTTTTATTAAATTTGTGACATCATATGGTTAGGGGTGTTTTCCCCCCTTATAAGTCTTACCTCTCTGGAACTGTTGGTTCCTGGAAGACTCTTAAAATATTTCATGTTCCCGCTCATATTTTCTGTCATGCCTTGCTGGTTTTTATAATGAACTGAGAAAAGGGAAGGTTTAACCATAAGATTTGCTCATGGTAATAAAAGACAAGACACTGCTGGGTGGGGCCTTCTGAGCCTCACTCTGCCACTGACTCACTGTGTAACCCCCCGGGCTTTCATTGAACCTTCTGCTTGAATTCTAGCAGAAGAGGCTAGCTAAAAGAGAGGAGAGCCAGTTTCTGAGTCAGAGGATATGAGGAATATCAGAAAAATTGCTTAGGGACCTAACCCACTAAACTGGAAGAGGGACTAGGGCAAATCTGCCTTATTCTGTTTAGTAATGCAGCCAGGGTACAGGATCCTAACTAAGCCTGAGTAGGGTATGCCCTAGGGGTTTGGAAGGTGGGGGCTGGGACACAGTTACGGGAATAGAGGGAGAAGGAAAGACACCTGAGAATCTGGTGTAAAAAAAAAAAAACAAAACAAAACAAGAGAAACATCCTATTGGCTTGAGCCCCTGCGCTGGATATAGTGTCTGCTTGCAGACAGGCACCGTGGAAGTCAGAACTAACATGATACACAACTCCAGGGGCTTAGATACTTCCTACATCAGAAAGCTGGAACAGTAATACAATGTTATATGTCAGTTATAGCTCAGTAAAGTGGCAGTGGGAGAGGCACGGTGCAGGAAGCTGGAACAGTTTTTGGCCTGTGGTGATAGGGTAGAACAAAGAGGATTCTTCTTACATGCAGATTTTTTTTTTTTTTAAGATTTTATTTATTTATGTGACAGAGAGAGATGGTGAGAGAGGGAACACAAGCAGGGGGAGTGGGAGAGGGAGAAGCAGGCTTCCTGCTGAGCAGAGAGCCCGATGTGGGGCTCGATCCCAGGACCCTGGGATCATGACCTGAGCCGAAGGCAGACGCTTAACGACTGAGCCACCCAGGCGCCCCTTACATGCAGATTCTTCAGGGAGCAGCTAGGCCAGACCCCCTGTTGACCTGGAATTATTTGAGGGTATGACAGAGATGGTGGTAGCTTTTGAAACAGTCCTAGTGGATGCAGTGTTGTTATCCTGCACCCACCTTAGCTTCCATCATGATGCATCTCTGAAGACATGCCTTATCCAAAAGTCCAATGTCTCTGTTTTAAATTTAGGCATCTAAGAGACCGTAAAGAATGGAGTAGGTTTTAGAAGTTGCAGAGAAAGAGACAGGCAAAAGGTACAGTCATTTCAGAGGGAATGCTGCTCCTTTTAGAAGCGGATCAGTCATCATATAACCAAGTAAGAATCCGTTAGGTTTGTGGGCTTTAGGAGTCACCATTTAGAAGATTTTTTTTTTGCTCAGAGAGGCTACTCAGTGACTCTCTTCCCAATAACCATCTGTAGTTTCTGACCATACTCTCTCAGGTTCAGCAGTTATCAAACTTTGGCTAATGGAGACCTTCTTTACTCTTGATTGGCACAAATAGTTCCCAGTTTTTTTGCTGTTTCAGTGTTGAAACAAACATCCTTGTATTTAAAGTGTGTGTGTGTTAGCAGTAAATTTTTAGTATTAAGTTACTGGCTTGATTTGTTCAATTTTGTTCTTGAAGTATAACATGCAGAAAAATTACACAAATCATAGCTCCATTAATGATACAAAACAAATACACCTAGGACGCCTGGGTGGCTCAGTCGGTTAAGCGTCTGCCTTCAACTTAGGTCATGATCCCAGGGTCCTGGGATTGAGCCCCACATCAGGCTCCTTGCTCAGTGGGGAGCCTGCTTCTCCCTCTGCCTGTGCTTGCTCTCTCTTTGACAAATAAAAATCACTAAAAAAAAAATGAATACACCTTCACAATTGCTACCCATATCAAGACAGAAAATTCCCAGCACCCTGAAAGCCTCTCTCATCTCCTTCCCAATCACTACCACTTCCCTCCTCCCCGGAGTAAACAGTATCCTGATTTCTAACATCATGAAGTTGTTACGCCTTTTTTAGAAACTTTAAGATATTTAAATGGAGACATGTATATCATTTTTAGGGGTCTGGCTTTTATCCCCCTCATTATGTGTTGGGATTCATAGCAGTAGTTCATTTTTCTTTTTTTTTTTAAGATTTTACTTATTTGTTAGAGCGTGGGCGAGAGAGAGAGTGAGCAAGGGTACAAGCAGGGGGAGCTGCAGGCAGAGGGAGAAGCAGGCTCCCTGCTGAGCAAGGAGCCTGATGCGGGACTCGATCCCAGGGCACTGGGATCATGACATGAGCCGAAGGCAGACGCTTAACCGACTGAGCCACCCAGGCGTCCCAGTTCATTTTTCTTAATTGCTACTCAATATCATTATATACCACATTTATTTATTCATTCTAATTGCATTGCTTGCAATGCCACCTTTATCATAAACCAAGTATCTGTACACAAGGGTCTGTTTCTAGGTTCTTCATTCTGTTTCATTAATATATTTGTCCATACTTGTACCAAAGCCTTACTATCTTCACTCTAACTTAATTATTATCTTTATTATTTTACGTATATAATAATATATATTGTAACATATATTTGTATATTATAACAATTATAACTTATATGTGTGTATATATCTAGCTGTATATTTGGCTTAATTATAGCTGTAATAATAAGTCTTAATATCTAGTAGAGTAGGCCCCCCACTTTGTTCTTTTTAAGATTACTTTGATTATTCTTGGCCCTGTGCATTTCCATATAACTTTTACAATCAGCTTGAAATTACCCCTGCCCCCTCTGCCCAAAAAAGTATGCTGGAATTTTTATTGGAATTCCCTGAGGAGAATGAACATCTTTACTATATTGAATCTTCCAATCCCTGGAAGTGGTGTGTCTATTTTTTGGTCTTTCATTTCTCTCAGTAATGTTTTATAGTTTTCTGTGTAAAGATCTTATACATCTTGTGTTAGATTTATTCTTAGGTATCTGGTGGGTTTTTTTTTATGTTGTTATAAATGGTATTGTTTTTTAAAGTTATTTCCTTATTGTATTAAAACATAATTTTATATATTGAGAAGAGTAAGTTTTTAATTATAAGATTTTTATGAGGTTAAAAGTATATCATTTTAAGAATCATCTAATATTCAACTTACGGGAATATAGGGCACATTAAGAAAAGTAAATTTGGGGGGCACCTGGGTGGCTCAGTCAGTTAAGCGTCTGCCTTCGGCTCAGGTCATGATCCCAGGGTCCTGGGATTGAGCCCCACGTCCAGCTCCCTGCTCAGCGGGCAGTCTGCTTGTCCCTCTCCTCCCCGCTCGTGCTCTCTCTCGCTATCTCTGCCGTCATCTCTATGTCTCTCTTTCTCAAATAAATAAAATCTTTAACAACAACAACAAAAAAGTAAAGTAAATTTGGAATATATCTAAGATTTGTAAGGGTGGAGATTTTTAAAGGATATCAGGAGGAGCCTGTTCCTAAATTGTGTGAATTCTCTGTTGGTTGCTTGAGAGAGATGGCCCAGGGCTTGCTTTCTCTCTGAGCTCAAATGATTGGAGCTTGGAATGTTGGGATGCTTTTTTTCTTCTTCAGATTGAGCCCTCTCCCAGCCAGCCCGCATTTGGGAGCACTCAGGCAAATGTAGAACAGGTGGGACCAGAGTGAATGGGAATTTCACTTAGTCCTTCAATGCTAGCAGTTTTTAAACTGACAGGCTTCTCTCCCATTCTAAAACTCACCGAGGAGGAAGCAGTAAATCCATCCACCATTGGGCATTGCAAGCATCCTGAAATGATGATGACAGTACCTGTTTCCTTAAACTCACACTTGGCTTTGTTTTTCCAGGTCTATAAAGGAGAATTTCAGCTCCCTGAATTTCTTAAAGAAAAACCTCAGGTACTGTATCTGCTTCCTCTTCTTAATCTGATAGATAGACTCTTGTGTCTGAGGGATCTTTTTAAAGAGTGCTATGCTGGTGGTAGAAAGATTGGCCTCTGGTAATTGTTGGTTTTAACAGTAATTTAACACCATCTTAATTTGAGAGAGCTCAGTATCAATGTCTTCCAAAATTAGGGAACTACTTTATTGACAACTAAAATCCAATTGCTTGAGGTAACTTATAACCCATATGGTATTCCACATATAAGAAGCCTGCCTTAGTGAATCTGCTCCGGCCTTCTCATATCTAACTTGAAGTAAAACTATACAGCCACACTTGGTTCTTATCACATAGACATCCATGATATTCACAGCCATTGGCCTTCAACTGGAAAGCCCCCAGGTTGGGAAAGGACAGTGAGAGTTTGGAAAATTATAACTTTTACTTTTTTAAAAAATTAGTTAAAACAGATCCAGAGTTATCCTTGTAATGTCACGCCTTCACTTACCTGGGTCAGTACTGTTTCTTGAGTCGAAGAGAGACAGGCAGTGTTACAGCTGACACTGTGCGCCTCAAGTGTGGCCCAGAGTGTCCTGCATCTGGCCGTCATCGGCCATTCCTATACAGTAGTGGGGAGAAAATTGTCAGCTACTACTTGAGCCCAGCAGAAGACTTCCCTTTCTAGCCTAGTGATAATACATGTTGCCTCCAGGCTGCTGGAGGAATAGGAATAGGAAATGACTCCGCACTGAACTCGGTTTCTAAAATCATCCCAGATATGGATTGGTGAGGCAAACATACCTCCTCACAGACTCTGTGTGAAGTCATGTTGACTGAAGCAAGCCTGCAGTAAAGTGGGCTGGCCTCTCTGAGAGAAGCTGCCCTCTCACACCAGGGTCGAAGGCTCTGTCTTCTCAGATCCTTGTCCGCTAACAATCAGCCATTAATAGTGGATATGTATACTTGAGAATTCCAAACTACTTTCATGGCATATTCTTATTAGCATATGTTCAGTTTTAATCCTCCCATTCATTCATTTTATTTATTCAACAAATGTTTACTGAATTTCTGTTATGGGTAAAAAATTGGAAGTCCTCAAGAGTCAGAGAAAAAAGGAGATCTTCTTAAGGAACTTCTGATCTCCCCTAAAGACTAATCAGTTTTTGCAGACAAGGGGGCACTGGGCCCTGAGCCTGGGCTAGGCGTGATGCCCCAGAAACCTGGATGGATTCATCAATAAGCCATCAATCACTTGCAGGGTGTGGCAATTGGAGCCAGAGAAAAATCCAAGAGGCAAGTCTTGAAGGAATGTCAAATCCAAAGACTGTTTTGCATAATAAGTTTGAGGGAATCAAGAAAGAGAATTTGAGACTAAAATTAAAGGGATACCTCTGCTTCACTGCATACATAAAAATCATATCCAGGCCGATTATAGACCTAAATGTGAAAGGCAAAATAATAAAGTTTTTAGGAGACAATAAAGGAGAATATCTTCATGACCTTAAGAGGGAAGGTTTCTTAAACAGATCATAAAAAACACTGATCATTAATTTTAAAATGGATAACTTGGGCTCCATTAAAATTGATAATATTTACTTATTAGAAAGCATCATAAGGAGAGTAAAAAAGTATACCTTAAGTGGAATAAAATAATTAAAAACAAAGGAGTCATTTGTAGAATATAGAGGATTCCTACAAATCAGTAAAAAAAAAAAAAAGAAAATGCGCAAAAGGCTTACTAGCAACTCAAGCCCCTTACTGTGGTTAGTTTAATGCATCACACACACACATACTTAGAAAAGGGCTGTAAAAGATTTTAACTTACAATAAATGAGAAAATGGAAGCCCACAGAACCCTCAGGTTTGGTATTTAGCTAAAGTGACTCACAGAACTCAGCAAAGTGCTGTACTTCCAGTTACAGTTTTATTATAAAGGATACAAATCAGGATCAGCCAAATGAAGAGACATGTAGGACAGGGACTGCAAGGGTCTCAAACACAGAGCTGTGCCCATTCCCCATGGAATCAGGGTACTTCTCCGTCTCAGCAGCATGTCAGTGCATTCACCAACCAGGAAGCTCCCCTGAACTTCAGCATCCCTAGTTTTTATTGAGATCTAATTACATAGACATGATTGATTGAATCATTGACCATGTGATTGAAGTCAATGCCAGTCAACATCCCCTATCCAGAGGTTGGCTGGCTTAAATTCCCAACTCTCTAATCACAGGGACACCAGCCAATTAGTGGCAAAGCCGGTTTCTGCTCTTTTGATCTTTCTGTGACCAGCCCCCATCCTGAGTTATCTCATCTCTTAGCGTAAACTCAAGTATGATCCAGGGAGCTCCGGAATAATGAAGACATTCCCGTTACCTGGGAAAATCCAAGAATTTAGGGTCTCCTTACCAGGAACTAGGGACATAGTCCAGTCAGATTCCGTATTATACAATAGTAGCAGACTGAGTTCATTAGAAACTCTGTGATCAGAGCCTACAAGCTACCCCTGATATTTCAATGGGAGCAGTCACTTTTCATTCTGACCAACTTCAAGGACTTTTAAAACATCTTTTGCTTCCTTTGACAGACTGAGGAAGTGGAGTAGCAGAGCCAGGAACCACTTACGTATGTGAGGTGAGAGTTGGGGGACATTCCTTGGTCTTTGGGTTTCCCTGCGTAAGCTCTCCTAGGAGGCAATGTGGCTGGAGTGGAGAGCACATCTCTGAAGTCCATCAGCCTGGGTTGGAATCTGGGCTCTGTGGCATTGAGCAAATTGCTTCTCTGTGTCTCAGCTTCCTCATCTGTAAAGTGAGGACAGTATTAATAAGAGAGTAATAGTAAGAATTAACCATAATAATGTCTACAGAAAGCTTGTTACTAAGCACTCAAACAGTGTTAGTTGTTATTTTTAATATGAAGAGGAGTATAAGATAATAAAATATTTTAACTAAAAGAAATTTGGAGACCATTAACCCCACTAACCTGTTTGCAGGTAAGGAAACTGATCCCCAAGAGAGAGCAGGTTATTTGTCAAAGTCACATCACAGGAAGGTGAAAGCCAGAGCTGCTTCCACCACCTCATGCTGCTTCTGTGTGTGCTGGATGTGCAGATGTTTTTGCAGTAATATTTTGGGGAGTTGGTCAAGTCTGTCCTTGCAGATTTTAATGTACAACGAGGTCTTGTTTGTAACCTACATTGTCTCATTGTAGGTAAGGGCTACAGTTGGGCTAGGCCAGCCATGCCTTATCAGTCCCCTTTATATCTGAGTAATCATCAGGTACATGTCCAGGGACACCAGCCAATTAGTGGCAAAGCTGGTTTCTGAACCCAGAGCTCCTGACGTAGCTGCTCAGAGCTCACACCCCTTTCCCACACTTCCTTAAGATTGTGTTTTGTTCTGAATGATGTGTAATGCCTTAGATCATTTGGAACTTGAAAGGCTTTTTTATTTATTTATTTATTTTTTTTTTTTAAAGATTTTATTTATTCATTTGACAGAAACACAGCGAGAGAGGGAACACAAGCAGAGAGAGTAGGAGAGAGAGAAGCAGGCTCCCCGCTGAGCAGGGAGCCCGATGCGGAGCTCAATCCCAGGACCCTGGGATCATGACCTGAGCCGAAGGCAGACGCTTAACGACTGAGCCACCCAGATGCCCCTGAAAAGCTTTTTTAGAAATCTGATTTTTTTCTTATAGTTTTGCTTGCTGTTTTAGTTTTATTTTATATAATAACATTGTATTGACGGCATACTCTATACGAGGCATAAAATATCAAGCATTTTATGTATGTAATATATAAATAACGTATATGACACATACTATATAATATATAACATATTCATATATGTAATTTATGAATGAACTCATTCAGAGTTCAAACCACTCTGGCAAAGTAGGTGGTATTATACCTGTTGTACTGATGAGAAAATTAAGACTGAATAATTTGAATTAAGAGATTTTTTTCTGACTTGCTGGGTTAATGGATAATAGACTAAAAAAGCACATGAACACTGCTATGCCATGTCAAAATCATGGATGACTTTGAGCTAATAATATTAATAGGTTTCAGGATTTATGACTGCCTTTTTGCTAAGGAGCAAATGCTAAATGTTAGACATACACTCTATGTACGTATGTAACAGCAGTTATCATACCTTTTATAGATAAATTCCCTCCGTGAAATGCGCACACAGGGATTCACTTATTGAATGTTTCACAAGACAGAATGCAGTGTCAGTTGACTCCAGCCTTCGAGTTGACTCCACAGCATCATTTCATCCTTGTATGTTTGTTGTAGCTTGTAGGGGCCACATGCAGTGAGAGGACTCAGAAGAAGCAGGAAGACAACAAAGCATCTCAGGAAGGATACTAGTCTTTCTTCTTGTCTTTGGGGTCCCTTTGGCATTTGAATGACAGTCGCTGTGTTCTCTAAATCTTCCTTTAAAGAACCCTGGTATCTACTCTTTCAAATGCAGAGTCAGCATGTCAGACCCCTGGACATATGACATCCCTACCAGTTCCCCTGCAGTAGCTTCAATTGCAGATGACAGTCACAGTCATTCAGCAATGGGCAGGAGCAGCCCGTGCTTTGGCTGCCATCTGCTTGTTTGGTGTCCCAAAGCGACCAGCAGGCGTCTGAAAGCATCCCAGACTGAGGGAGTGTGTGCTTCCTTGGTAGTCCTTCTGAGGCGGCTGCTCTTGTGACCATCTGTCCTCCTCGCTGCCTACCTGGCTTTGGCCGGGACTGCAGCTGGGTGCCGGGGAGAATGGAAGTGTGACTCCACACCTGTAACCGTATTCTATTTGTTTGCCCTAGGGAAGACTGCTGCCTTTCAACAGGAGGGAAAGTTCTAGGACTGGCTGTCCCCCGCTGAGATCAGTGGAGCGTATGTACCATGGCCCGCATCTCCTGTTGGCTTGCCGGTCTCCTCCCACTGCGAGGGTGGGATGTCAGTATACATTTGGGCCTTCCTGAGTGATCTTCCTGACTGCAGTGCTCTTGATCCTAATTACATGCACAACCCTGTGGATAAGAAGCCTGGAAGGAGCATGTGCTTTCTGTTAAAACTGCTCTGGTCCTCATCTTTTCTTACCAGATTCCAAACTTTTGTTTCAAGGGGAGGGTTTTAAAATGGAATTCTATAAGCAAAATTGGGCAGTTTCATCTTGGAATAGGTTGTCTGTACATGTTCTAATGTTTCGTAGAACACTTCCTGTTTAAATGTATTGATGTGGATAATATTAAATATCTTAATTATTTAAATAATTCATTGTATTGTTTTTGAGAAGTTGAGGAATTACCGTACATTTACAACTTAATGACTTTTGTATTTTATTTTTCAAAATAAAAGCTTTAAATGTGTGAAGCATTCTGGTGGTTTACATGTTTTTATTACTGTGATTTCAGAGAAGCAGTAAGACCTTATCAGACGGTGATTGATAAACCAAAGTTTCTTCAGCTGGCTGTATTGTAGATATTCCCTTCTATGCATCATAACTTTTTTTAATTTTTTAATTTTAATTCCAGTATAGTTAACATACAGTGTGATATTAGTTTCAGGTGTACAATACAGTGATTCGACACTTCCATTCATTGCCCAGTGCTCTTCACAACAAGTGCACTCCTTAATCCCCATCACCTAGTTCACCCCTCCCTCTACTACCTCCCCTCTGGTAACCATCAGTTTGTTCTCCATAGTTAAGAGTCCGTTTCTTGGTTTGTCTCTCTCTCTTTTTTTCCTTCCTTCATTTGTTTGTTTCTTAAATTCCACATGAGTGAAATTACATGGTATTTGTCTTTCTGTGACTTATTTTGCTTAGCATTATACTCTCTAGCTCTGTCCATGTTGTTACAAAATGGCAAGAGATCATTTTTTATGGCCAAATAATATTCCATTGTGTGTGTATGTGTACCACATCTTCCTTATCCATTCATCAGTCGCTGGACACTTGGACTGTTTCCATAATTTGACTATTGTAAATAATGCTGCTATATACATCAGGGTGCATGCATCCTTTTGAATTAAGTGTTTTGTTTTTTATTCTTTGGGTAAATACCCTGTAGTGCAATTACTGGACTCGTCCTATTTTTAACTTTTTGAGGAGTTAAAAAGTTATGCCCTGTGCTCTTCACAACTGTGGAAGACCTCCATACCGTCTTCCACAGTTGGCTACACCAGTTTGCAGTTGCACCAACAGTATACAAGGGCTCCTTTTTCTCCACATCTTCCCCAGCACTTGTCATTTCTTGTGTTTTTTATTTTAGCCATTCTGACAGGTGTGAGGTGAGCTCTCATTGTGGTTTTGATTTGCATTCCCCTGATGATGAGTGATGTTGAGCATCTTTTCATGTCTGTTGGCCATCTGTATGTCTTTGGACAAATGTCTGTTCACGTCTCCTGCCCATTTTTAATTGGATTATTTATTTTTTGGGTGTTGAGTTGTATTAGTTCTTTATATATTTTGGATACTAACCCTTTGTCAGATATGTCATTTGCAAATATCTGCTCCCATTCTGTAGGTTGCCTTTTAGTTTTGTTGATTGCTTTCTTTGCTGTGCAGAAGCGTTTTATTTTGATGAAGTCCCAGTAGTTTATTTTTGCTTGTATTTCTCTTGCCTCAGGAGACATCTAGAAAAATGTAGTTAACGGCTGATGTCAGAGAAATTACTGCCTGTGCTCTCTTCTAGGATTTTTATGGTTTCAGGTCTCACATTTAGGTCTTTAATGTGTTTTGAGTTTATTTTTGTGTATGGTGTGAGAAAGTGACTTAGTTTCATTCTTTTGCATGTGGCTGTCCAGTTTTCCCAACACCATTTTTTGAAGAGACTTTTTCCTATTGCATATTCTTTACTCCTCTGTTGAAGATTAATTGACATGCATCTTAACTTCTTAAGATTTTGCTGTAATTTATTTCATGAAGACCTATCATCCATTTGTCTCAGAATCCTGTTCTATTTCATGCCTGCCTACTACATTTAAGGACAGAGAAGTTACTGTTCCCAGCTGTTTTCTAGAAGCCATTGTTCTACAATACAGAATAACCAGACAACAATAGTAATTTCTATTTATTGAGGGTCTTCTATGTGCAAGACACTGAACAAGGTGTTTTATGTGTTTTCTTACTCCTGGCTTGAGAATTCTGCATCCTCTGGTCTTATCCATCCGCAAATAATATTTTCTACCTAGTCATGCAAGCCAGAAACCCAAGAGTCTTTCCTTCCCTTTCTCCCCCTACGTACAAGATCTTTCATTCTACCTTTAAAATACTTCGTGAATCCATCTACTTCCCTTCAGCTCCACTGCCCCCACCCTAATGGAAGACAGCACCGTCTGTCACCCAGACTGTTGCAATAGAGAGCCTCCTAAATAATATCCCCATCCCTACTCTTGCCCCCCACCAAAGTTTAGCACACAGCAGAGTAATAGTTTTACAATGCACGTATAGTTATGTCCTTCGCCTTACCCTCTCTTTTAGGATAGAACCCACGTTCCGGCCATGATCTAGCCACTGCCCTTCTTTCCATCTCCCCCACCTCACCCCTTGTGTTCTAAGGTTCTTTGCATCCCCTGGAAACACACCAAGCTTTTTCTGCCTCTGCACATACTCCTCCTCTCTCTGGAATGTTCTTCCCTTTGCTCTTTGTCTGATAGCCTCCTTCTCAGTTCTCTGGTCTCAATAAATTCCATTTCCTCAGAGAGACTTTTCCTGACCCCTTGACCTAAAAAGTAGATGCCCTCCCTGCCTCTCTTCATCACAGTATCACCTTATCAGACTTGGCAGTTTTTAATCTGTTGACTTTTTTTTTTATTGTCAGTCTCCTATACTAGGTGGTAATTTCCTGGAAGACAGAGACTATAACATTTTCTTGTCCATTTTGGTATCTCTGACACCTAGCAAAGTGTCTGGCACATTCTAGGAACCCGGGAAAATACTTGGTAAATGATTAATTCTCCCAGAAACCTCTGGCATATCATTTTACAGATGAGAAAACAGGCTCCCCTGGATCAAGTCCCTTAGACAAGGCCCCTCAGATAGTGCTATCAGGGTGAGCTGCTACTTCAGTCCAAGCCTGACCTGAACATCCCTCTTTCCAGTCCTCTCACCCAGGCCTGTCCCCTTCAGTTGAAAAGGAATACTGCTGTCCTATCAATCCTTTGTTCAAAAACCTTCTTTGATTCTCTAATGCCTAACACATTACATCTAAACTGTTCTGCGGGGCGCCTGCGTGGCTCAGATGGTTAAGCGTCTGCCTTCGGCTCAGGTCATGATCCCAGGGTCCTGGGATCGAGTCCCGCATCAGGCTCCCTGCTCCTTGGGAGCCTGCTTCTCCCTCTGCTTCTCTCTCTCTCTCTCTCCCCCTCTCTCTCTCCCTCTGCCTCTCATGAATAAATAAAATCTTTAAAAAAAAATAAAAAAATAAACTGTTCTGCCTCCACAATGTGGGCTTCCCACTTTCTTGCGTACAGTATGCCTCCTGCCTGTCTTCCTTACACTCCTTCACTTTCTGCTGCTTTCAGATGCCTGAAAACCCTCTCCCCTCTACCCGGGAAATCCCAGCCTCATTAAGGGCTCAGCTGCTTTCAGTGCCATTTCTCCTTACACAACTGCTCCAACCTCCAAATAGTAATAAAGTCAGCTTCAGCTTAACATAATATTTATTTATTTCCTGTGTTAGTCTTATGTCATTGACTTTGTAGGGAGGAGGTTAAATACTCCTCTAGAGCCTCTCAGAATGGGAGAGGAGGACTTTTTTTAACCATAACGCAGCCTGCCTCCAGTACTTGCCCCAAAGGAGACATGAGTTTTATTTCTCCCACCTGCCCACCCCTAGAGACTCCACTATTACAGGTGGGCGTGTATTGGAATAGGAAAAGGGCAGAGAACCACTGCACAAAATGGCTGACTCGGGGGGAAAAAGGAAACCTCGGCACAACTGGCTTCATCTTCAGATGCTGTGCTATTTCCATCCCTATTGACATTCCCTCTTTCACAAAGCTTTCTTTCTTTCTGGCCCAAGCACACTTCTTTTGAGCCCTGTGAAGAAAAGCGTTTCTGTTTCCTGTTGACCTCTTGGATCATGTGTATGAAGATGACTGTCTATGTGATTGGGTGAAACCAAATGGAACTCCTGTTGAACAGATGAAAGATGGCTGGAGTAAAATTTAAAAGGAGGCAACAGGAGGGGACCAGGTAGACGTGTGGCCTCTATCGGAGTGCTTCCTGGAGCCAGCATAGCCATCGGCCACAGACAGCAAGTGAACCCACAAGGCCAGAGAGGCTGGTGTCCTCAGAGGCCACAGGAAGAGCTAAAGATAGCATCAGCCATGAAGAATCATAGAATTTAAAAATGAGAAAAAAAAACCCTCAGTAATCACTAATCAAGGAATCGGTCTGGTAATACTTATCAAGAACTTGTCATGGGCCAGGCCCTTTGCTAACCATTTTACATGTCTAATCGCATTTGTTTTTTTTTTTAAAGATTTCATTTATTTATTTGACAGAGACAGCAAGAGAGGAAACACAAGCAGGGGGAGTGGGAGAGGGAGAAGCAGGCTTCCCGTCGAGCAGGGAGCCCGATGCGGGGCTCGATCCAGGACCCTGGGACCATGACCTGAGCCGAAGGCAGACGCTTAACGACTGAGCCACCCAGGTGCCCCCATGTCTAATCTCATTTAATTCTCATAACTACCATCTGAGGTATGTACTACTGCAACCTACATTTTACAAACACTGGCTCTGAGGGTAAAGTACCTAGTACAGCTAGTGACAGGGTCCGGATTCAAACATAGGCAACCTGGCTCCAGAGCTGACACCCTAACCACTACTCTGCATCTCCAATAATCATCTTTATACTAGAATAGAAACTTGCCATTAGCATTGAGTTGCAACTGTTTAAGTACCTCCCTTGTACTTAGTAATTTGCTAGGTATAATTGGGTGGTGCGCCAGGAAGTATAGGCAGATCACTGCCCTTGGGAATTTATGGTCTTGGTAAAAATCAAGAAAAATGCCCATAAAACAATTATTTCAGGTTCTAACAAAATGTATATACTATCACCTACCAAAACCTGGCTAGTAGGTGATAGATAAGTAATGGTCTAGGCAAGACTCCATCCAGTGTTATCCCCAAATCTGTATTTCTAAAGGAGCTGTCTGGGCTTTTCTCTGGGGAGGTCAATATTTTCAGCATTGAGTTCCCTTCCCTGCTTGTCACTATCCACTGCAGTCTTCTGCAGACACTTTAGGTCTTTGTGTAAAGCAGAGCATCCAGAGTTATTCTAAATTGGGCAAAAGAGGTAATTTTTATTCATTTTGTGTTGAAATCCTAACAAAAGAGTTCATTATTTGAGTATTGGGTGTGTATGTGTGTGTGAG